CGGTCCCCGAGGGCGATGTCCATAGTAGGACCCCGGTCTCGGACGGCGTAAAATGTCGATTTTCTCGGCGAGCGCGAGAATCTCGTTGAAGTTCGAGAGCCCGCGTAGCATAATTTCGTGCGAGATGTCCGGCTTCAGCCCTCCGACGTAACGGTCCACCCGCTCTGCTTCGTGCATGTAGCCGACTTGCTCGCATAATGCGAGAAAACCACTCGTATAGTCTTGAACCGATCCGAGCTGCCGCCAAGTGCGCAATCTCTGACGCGCCGAAATAGAAGCCGTGATCGGCTCGAAGCGCGCCCGAAGCCCTGCGCACCACGCATCCCACGTGCTGTACTGGGCGGTCTCGCAGAATGAACTCCAGGTGACAGCTGGGCCCGTGGGCCCTTCCTCTTGCGACGGTGGCTCGTAGGCGCGTGGCGACGTCACGATGACTCGCCACCAGTCCATGGCGGGGCCCCTTAGCAGCGAAACGACATACCGAATCTTCGCTGCGTCCGACTCGACGTAATTCGCGTCGAAGAAGACGTTCATCGTGAAGACCCACGATTGAACCGTCGGGCCTCGACGCTGGCTCGTGTCGAAGCAGGGCGGGCGTTGCGGCTTGAGTGGCATTGGTGCCATAATGGCCTGTTCGCCACTTGTCGCCGCGAACTCCACGTGCCGACGGGCTTCACGAGGCTCCCGCGGGCTTGGTGCGACCCTGTTTCCTCCCATGCCAGGCATCGGCTGGGCGACGACATCGCTGGCTGCGCCTGAGCGCTTTCCCATGCTGTTGTTTTGTGTTGGTGTGCCGGACGAGATGACGATCGGCTCGTCTGATTGTGCAGATGCATTTGTCGGTGCGTGTGGTGGCGCTGAAGTGTTCATCGTTGATTGCTGACGCGCGGAGTCCCGTTCCGCCGTGAGCGTCGCAATTTCGGGCGCCGAATCTTCAAGTTGGCGCACCAGACGGTCGAGCTGCTCCTGCGTCAATGTGGCGAGTGTGAATTCGGCCATGGCGGGGGTGTCGGGCGAGCTCAGCGAGAGCCTCAGTCGTGGCCATGCGTGCTTACGAGAGAGCATTACGAGCGGCGGTGCTGTGTCGCTGAGAGATGTCTACCCCCCCCAAAATTGAGATACTGGGGAAGCGAAGGTGTGGGTGCGGTCCGAGAAGAGATCGTAGGCTCTGAATACCAAGTGTTACGAGTGCAATTGAGTGAACGAACGAGAATTGCACTATCGAAGCAAGAGTACAATGAGCGAAGGCATGAGCAAAGGCTACCGTCACCCCCCGGATATAAGCGCCACCCTAGGATAAGCGCCTGGCGCTTCTAATTGGCATATGGCGCTTATATCCCCTCCTCGATTATAAGAGCATACCCTAGAGTCGTACGGATTATAGCCGCATACCTGTACCTTACACATTATAACCGCCACTTTTTTAATTTTTTTTTTTCTACAAACTTCCCTAACCACATTAACAACTTATATTTTTATCTAATTAAATACAAAGTCAGTTTATCTACAGTTTTTTCTAATTACAGTTCTAAATCTACCTACGAGTCTCACAGGCTACAGCAATTTCTAGATCTACGTAATCTAGTCATCAGCTGCGGTAGGATCATCCGGGTCGGCCTCAGAGTCCGACTCTGGTTCTTCTACGTTGTTGCAGAAAAAGCCATCTGCTGCAATGTCGTCGTCGATGTCTATTTCGTCGCCCTCAAGCTCGTCGCGCCTGTGTTGCAGGCAGATCTTGTCCTGGGACCCATCCAGGGCGTTACTAATGCCACAGGTGAGGAAAGCCCGTTGAATCAAGTCCCTGGGCACGGCCTTCCAAGCCGCTGATATCCACTTGAGCGTTAGCTCGGGTGGTGGCTTCTTGATGTTGCCTGCCATGAAATTTAAACAATCAAAAGTCAGCCACCGCTACAAACTGATAAAGCAGCACACGCATGGCCTGCCTCTCTCACCTTTCTTTGTCAAGGTGTCGACCCCCTCGCTCTCGAACCACTCCTGGTAGAGCTGTCGAACAGATGCCTTGAAGGAGCGATTCACCGCGACGTCCAGAGGTTGAATCTCCGAGGTGCAACCAGCTGGGATAACGGCAGGGACGATGTTCAGCTCCCCGAACTTCTTCTTCACCTCCGCAGTCAGGTGCCCGCGGTACGAATCCAAGACGAGCATCGCTTTGCGGGGCCTCACTCCAAACTTGGTGTGGACGAACGGCTTCACTGCCCCGTCGAGCCACTCGATGACTCCGTCCGCGTCCATCCAACCGTTGGGATGGACGGACACCGTAACATCTGCACAGCCACAAACGCACATACAACATCAGTAGACATTGAAAAAAAAAAACATGCAGCAGTGGGTGTTAATGCTCACCTGAAGGGAAATCCCCTTTAGGCAGGGTCTTCCGTTTGAAGAAGACCCACGGCTTCAGCTTCTCACCGCTGGCAGTGCAGGCGAGCATCACCGTAACTCGCTCCTTCTGATAGCCGCCGCTGCGGATAGGCACAGAGCGCAGACCCACCTCCTCGACTGTGCGTTCGGCAGGCATCTCGAGCCACAGTGGTGTCTGGTCCGCGTTTATTATCCACTGCGGGTCAATCTTGTATTGGCGGCGGGTGTGACGCACGAACTTCCAGAAATTCCTGACGTCAGTCTCGCAGTCTGGGAGTACGGGTGGGAGGGAAAGAGAGAAGAGAGTATTAATGACGCGTTAAAATTCAACCGTGAAACATAAAGAGACAAACAACACAAAGCAGTACACATTAAACTGCAACCATTTCCCACAAACTCACTTGCAGCAAGCTTCTGGCCGACCCTGGTCTTCGCTCGGGTTGTCAGATTCCAACGGCGGCGAAACCGCTCAGTCCACCGCTGCGAGCCGGACCACTTTACCTGTGGGTGCAATTCTTTCATCACCTCATGCGACCACTTCTGTAGGCGAGCGATCGAGACCGCGAGACATTTTTTACGGTGGGCAAGAAACCTCCTGTAGACTTCAGCTTCCATGTCGCGATACCACGAGCTCCTTCCGCGCCCATGAAGACGCTTGCGAGCAGCATGCGCGCCCTCCAGGTCAGCCTTCCGGGTCTTCCATTCTGCGAGTGACCTTCGGGAGATGCCGGTTTGGCGAGACATCTGCCGCACGCTCATGTGCCCGGACTCAAGCTTGAGAATCCACTGCAGTTTCTCCTGCGATGTGTAAGAGTGCCGCTTGTGACTTGAAGGCTTGTGCCTGGGGGAGGGAGGACGGGCATCGCGATTCTCGCGAGAAGGGTGGGGCCGTTTCTTATTGGGGGGGGGGAAGGTGGGAATAGGCAGGTGCTCTGGAAGACCGTCGGCAGCCCAAAACTCCACGTCATCCTCCGCACCAGTCGCGGATTCGTCCAACGGGCAATCAGCCGGGGCTCCCCAGCGTGGCGACGGTGCGGAGGAAGACGATGCGCCACCGGCGCGGTCGGGCTCGGACAGATACGCGTCAAACGCCGAGTAGCCAGGAGGGAGGAGAAGCTGCAGGACCCCCTGACGTGGAGCACCAAACACAGGCGGGTCAGGAGGGGACGGAGGAGCTGGAGGAACCGGAGGCGCCGGGGGAGCGGGAGGTGCAGGAGGAGTTGGAGGAGTGGGAGGAACGGGAGGAGCTACTGGTTGACACGGAGGGACGGGCGCAGGGCGCGACTGCCATTGAGAGTAGTCACAGGTGTCTCGGCGGGTGTTTTCTCTGGCAGCAGGATGGCGGCGGAACAAGAAATGCGTGCGTGGAAGGCCCGCCATGGCCACGGCAGGCCAAACGAACAAAGAAACTGAAGGCAAAAGTCGAGAATGAGGGTTGTATGAAGCCCTCGCCCGAGACCCCTTCATTTTCGCGGCCCGGCCTCCTCTGCGGGAAAAGGGTGGCCCCAGTCAAGATTCCCCGCAGAGGAGCTGAGCTGGGCAGCTCCTTGCCTCGGTGGCGGGGAATTTTGCTGTTGATGGGCACACCGTGGCTGAACCACGACGTGCCCACGATCGCATGCAACCCTGATTGGGCCGCTGTGATGCGAGGTACGTGTGCACTGGCATGGGCCAGGTTCACGTTCGATGAACCTGGCCTGGCCAACAAGGCGTGGAAGGCGTGAAGCCACGCCTTGTTGGCCGTTTCACGCGCAATGCATGCACAGTTTCGAACGTTCTCGACCCAGGTGAATCCGCCTTTGAGAATGCTTCGATTTGGTATATTTAAAAACAAAATTCAATTTTGACAAATTATAAACGCCGGCGCTTATAAATTTACTATATTATAAGCCCACCCCCTCAAAAAAACATGTTATATTATAGCCCCCCATGGGGGTATATCCGGGGGGTGACGGTATATAGCGAAACTACAGTGGTAACGGTAATGGACTGTGGTTGTCGCGTGGCGGGCCTGGGACCGAGGTTGGGAAAAGTGTCGAAGCGGAGGCCTGGAGCGCGGGTTACCCGCCGAGCCGTGAGGTCGGGGTGCGACGTGCGAAGGTGGCGGGAGGATTGTCGATGTGAGGGTTGCGAGTGGTAACGGTGCTGACTGTGGTGCTACAATGGTGTACGCGCTGAGCGGGGACGCGAAGTAAGGAAAATGATTTTTCCTTACAATTATGCCAAATAGCTACATTCCACATAACTCCCACACACATTCCACAATGCATTCGCATGTGTGATAAGTGAGGGGGTATATAAATGCTCTGGTTATACACACAATACTCTCTTCTAGCTAGATGCCTTTTTCCTTGGTGGCACCATCACTTCATCCACCGTGTGCACCACCACAAACTCGTTTGTAATAACGTCCGCAGCTACAAGGTGAGCCCCATCGCTTGCACTTTCCCCACCAAATTGCACCCCAGGAACAGCGATGCAAACCAAAGGATGTCTCGAAGCTGTTGGAAACTGCAGTTCAAGGGAAGAGCAATATTAAAATATCAAGTCAGTGGGTGGTTTGAGGGCCAAAAGATGCATCATACAAACCTTGCAAGGTCCGCACATGAACAGATTGTTTAAGTACAGTGTTTCTGTGTGTGACGTACCTCGTCACCGGGTGCCGAGCTGCGAAGATCAGCTGCAGTGAGTCTTGTCTCAAGGATGTGGAAAAGTAGCACCTAGTGCAGGGGGGGGGAAGGGGAACAGGAGAAGGATACACAGGCACATACAAGCTGAAGAAGCTGCACAGCTATCCTTATATGCAACTGATGATTGGTGTGCATAATTCTGCACATGAGCACACAACTTCTTCTGTGCTTAACAAACACTTACCATGATCTGCTTGTACCTGGATAATATTCTGTGGGTTGTCCGCAATAGAGTCAGCAACAGCAGGCGCCAAGTGATCCCAAGCATCGTTTGAGGGCACCATCAGTGTCAGCTCTTGGGTCTCGAGCTTGCGGCATAGATACTCCTGAAGCTCTGTACCAGCAATCGTACAGGCAGAAGAGACATAGAGACGCTGAAAGAACAGATAGCCACGCTGAAGAATCTTTCAAGTCGACTCAAATGCAGCCTCCTGAGTCTCGAGCTTCCGGTATATATACTCCTGAAGCGCTGAAACAACCACCGTGCGCGCATAAGGGACATAGAGAGACCACAGGTAGCCACTCTGAAAACAAACAAGTTTCTGAAACAGCATATGCTGGAAAACACAGCATGCTCAGCAGCAGTTCCAGCTGCTTCTCATGCACCCACTCAACACATCTGCAATTCTTGGGATTTTTCCAGAAGCCCACGTCCACTCACCAGCCTTCTGGAGCGCCTCAGTGAAGCGAGAGAGCCCTTTCTTCTGCAGCGCTGCCAGCACAGATTCGCATGCCACTCGCCCACGGTGTGCCCGGGCCTGGGCCAGCGCAGGGTCGCCAGAGACTGCTTTCATCTGCATGATATTGATGCATGGGGAGCAACACACAAGTGAGACTAGTGCTGCCTAACAAATAACACAAATCCATCAGAAAACTGGACTTTGTATAGGTTAGCAAGAAGCCCACTGTTGACTTTGGTGGCTTTACAAATGGCGGAAGGAGCTGGCAAGGAGGGAAGCAGGCTAGTACAATGTTGACGTGGCAGGCGCACCTGCCCGCAAAATGTTGGCGAAGCAGGCTCGCTGGAAAGCACGAGGAATGCTCACCTGCACGAGGGGGCGGATGAACTGGCGCGAGTAGAGACCCGGGTCCATGACATCCGTGATTCCATGCACGGCAATGCTGTCTCCCACATATGCATTAGCGCGCGACACCTGAGGAAGGGTGGGGAAGGAGGCCAAAGGAATGAGGCCAGTTGCACGATAGGGTGCAAGGTGAGGCACGGGTATAAACCTGGGTCCATCTGTGATTCCATGCACCGCGATGCTGTCACCCGCATATGAATTAGCGCGAGACACCTGAGGAAGGGAGAGGAAGAAGGGAGAACCACAGGGTTGGTGGTAAGCCAAGGGGGATGGGATCCCACGAGTGATGCCCGGATTTGAGTGATGCCGTGCACAGTACTGCTGCCATTGATACATTGTCCGCAACATTTGCGATGCAGACTGGCTCACCCAGGTGCAGTGCGGTTGAGACAGAACAACGAGGTAGTGAGGTACATGCGGGCCGTAGGGCGAGCCTGCGGGGCCGAACTCGAGGACGCGCGCGAACACCTTGACGAGGGCGACGTTGGAGGAGTAGTAAGAGGTAGTTAGTACGGTGCAAAGCGGTTGACCAGGGAGGTAGAGGGGTTACCTGTGGTTCGCATGGCGAGCCTGCGGGGGCGAACTCGAGGATGGGCGCATACACCTTGACGACGGCGACGTTAAGGAGAATCAGAGAGAGACAAGGAGAGAGAGTACGGTGCAGATCGGTCTAGGGACAGAACAAGGAGGTTTAGAGGTACCTGCGGGCCGTATGGCGAGCCTGCGGGGCCGAACTCGAGGATGGGCGCGTACACCTTGACGACGGCGACGTTGGAGAGAGTGCCGTACTGCACGACGGGGTGAGCAAAGATGAGAAAGGGCAACGAAAGAAGAGGGATGGTGAGCAGAGATGAGCTGAATGCGCTGCCACTCGTGCGCAGCATCGAGAGCAGCTGGCTGGCCATGGCTGGCTGAACAACAGAGCTGAATGCGCTGCCACGATATGTGTCAGCCTCTTCTTGACGATGTGGAACAACAGCTGGCTGGCCGAGGCCCACGGCATCGCGCGCAGCCGACCAGAACCCCTCCCTTTTCCCCCTTTCCCCCTTTCCCCTCTTCTTCCATTTCCTTGCTCCACAGCAGTTTCACACCATTGTTTTGAAACGAACGGATCGCAGCGCAGCTGGACATGCGTCAGTCTCTTCTTGACGACGTGGAACAGCGGCTGGCTCGCCATGGCCCACCCCCCTCTCCCCACTCCCCCCCTTCCCGCTCAACGATCCCCGTACTCCAATTCTATACCAGTTCCGCACCTTAGTTTCGGGGCGAGCGGAGCGCAGCTGGACATGCGTCAGTCTCTTCTTCACGACGTGGAACAGCAGCTGGCTCGCCATGGCCCACGGCATCGTGCGCAGCATCTCCGCGTCTTGCGCCGGCATCGCCGCGAACGCGTCGTCGGTCGGCGCGAGGAAAGTGACCCCCGTGCGCGCGCCGAAAGGGGACGCGACATACGAGTCGATCAGCTTCGATGCGCCTGGGTAGAGAGGGGTTATCAACAGTTCAAACGGGTGAAAGAATGATTCCAGAAAGTTCAACTGACGGCATCGCCGCGAACGCGTCGTCGGTCGGCGCGAGGAAAGTGACCCCCTTGCGCGCGCCGAACGGGGACTTGACGTACTAGTCGATCAGCTTCGATGCACCTGGATACAGAGTGGCGATTAATAGTTGAAACGGGTGAAAGCATGATTCCAGGATGTTCAACCGACGGCCCAGATGCAGGATGATAAGGTGCTTCTCTCGTGGCAGTTAGGGGGGGTATGGTGGCAGGAGGATCGTGGTTGACAGCGGAAACGAGGGTATTTTCTATACTTCACGAGGACAGCCCAAATCAATCCTGCTAATAGCCACAGGAGGATCGCGAGTCAGAGGACATGGTGTCAAACGTTGAAAAGAAAGATGAAAGATGATACCTAAGGTATCATCTTAGCGAAAATCTTAGAAACCAGAAAACGGCTCCGATTTTCTGGAGCCTCAGAACCTGTAACCCCATTCAAGGCGCCTCAAAAGCTGAGGGCTCCGATTTCAGGGTCTTAAAAGCAAGAACACGGAACTCTAAGAGATTGCCTCGGGGTTTCTGAGCACAATCCGTACCTGACGATTCCAGGGCTTTCAAGAAAGAGCCGAAGGCCTTCAGCGTATCCCTCCACGGCAGGTCATCGGCGAGGGATCGAGGCGTAGAGCTCAGAGCCGCTAGAGTCAACGTTAGGAGCACCAAGAAACTCTTCATGGCGGGCGAATGTTCTTATATTGAGCGGAGCGGACGTCGAGGTAGCAGAATGTGTGTGAGCCGGATGAGTGGTGGTGATGGAAAAACACGAGTAGTACTGGCGGGTGATTGCGTGTGCGAGCGGTGTCGCTAGACAGCGAGAAGCTGACGGACGTGGCCACGATTGTCTACAACACGACACTAAAAGTAATCATCTTATCGCACAACGACACTTTCTTAGGATTGGAAGGAGTTTAGCTTTTGCCTGAAACCTGCTGGTTAACACGCAAGAGGGATCAATACAGCGAACGCAAAATTAGAAAGCAGCTCTGTCTGTAGCCCGGAAAGCGTTCACAGGGAGGCTCGGTAAGCCCAGAATGGCGGACTGATGGTTGCAGGAGGGTGAAGGGAGGTGACCCAGGGAAAGGGAATGGACGGTGCTTCTGACGGCGAAGTTTTTTTGGCCGACACTGGCGTGGTGGGGGTGGGGTGGTACAGGGAATGGGGATGGGCGGCTTTCAAGAATGGTCGGCTTTCAAGAATGGTTTGGCGGGAAATGCCCTGAATCGGGTCGCGCTTGATGTTTTGTGCCAGAATATGGAATGCGATTCGGAGCATTCACATTTTGAAATTGGTTACAGCACAACTCAATAAAAAAACGTGAATCCCTCCAGCTATTTTCGCAAAACCTTACTACTACATCACAGGAGCTCCTTCATGCAATCCTTGTTGAAGCCAGTTCCTCAGTTCAAGCTGGCAGGAAACACAGAAACAGAAACAAAAGATGTCACAAAAATCACCACATTCCTCATGTCCGCAAGAAGCAACAGCTGTTCGGGCAAAATACTTACAGGAACACGTGGATTCTTGTTGATAGCCTCTTCTAGCTCGTATGCAGTAACCAGCAAACGGGCAGGTAAGAATTCAAGGTCCTCCACACTGGCTGGTTGCTGCCCAGAGACAACCGCTACAAAATTGGCATCTATAAGCCGCCCGTAAGCCTGTTGAACACAGTGGAATCAAAAGAGGGGGTGTAAGATAAAACCACTTAATGGCACAACTACTTATGTCGCAACGAAGTGGTGTAACCATTGTTGCGTGCACAGTGCAACATTACCTGTAAGGCGGATTCTTGAGAGAAGACATCAGAGACAGAGCCTCTGGCCGCCACTCTCCGAGACTCATACTCTGGCCAAGGGAGGGATGGGTGGAGGTGTGGGTGTATGGATGGAGTGGGAGAGCGGCAATCATGCAGCCGAGACAATATAAGCAAGATTGCGGGATTGACGCAATAACAATGTGGAATCAATGGCAGCCGAACAATGTCCCCGTAAATAGCATGGTACAGGGTTGAAGAACTAAAAGGGCACGGAAGAGAAAGGCACCAGCCCACCTTTGAAAGCTGTGTGGAAATTTATAGGGTGTGATCCACTTGCTGCTCCTTCGACTGTAGTGCCGCCTGCCCCACCAGCTCCACCAGCCCCACCAGCACCAGCAGCAGTGCCACCAGCGCCAGCCGCAGCACGTGCTTCGGTGCGGTGGAATGCCACTAGCAGATAGAGCTCCAGGACTGACAGGCCTGTGTGGGTGCCAGAGGGTCGGAGGTGGAAGGGAATGGTAAAGTCGACTGGAAGGGAATGGTAAAGTCGACTGATATTCAATTCCGAATCACTTGAAAGCATCTGCTGGCGGATGGGCTGTGTGGTTGCAGCATAGGCTCTTTCAATAATTGGACACACACGGACAAGTCTAGGGTCTGGCCTTCTTGCCTCTTGAGACGTCTCAAAATGAATCACCTGAGAGCATCTGCTGCCGGATGGGCTGTGTGGTTGCAGCATAGGCTCTTTCAATAATTGGACACACACGGACAAGTCTAGGGTCTGGCCTTCTTGCCTCTTGAGACGTCTCAAAATGAATCACCTGAGAGCATCTGCTGCCGGATGGGCTGTGTGGTTGCAGCATAGGCTCTTTCAATAATTGGACACACACGGACAAGTCTAGGGTCTGGCCTTCTTGCCTCTTGAGACGTCTCAAAATGAATCACCTGAGAGCATCTGCTGCCGGATGGGCTGTGTGGTTGCAGCATAGGCTCTTTCAATAATTGGACACACACGGACAAGTCTAGGGTCTGGCCTTCTTGCCTCTTGAGACGTCTCAAAATGAATCACCTGAGAGCATCTGCTGCCGGATGGGCTGTGTGGTTGCAGCATAGGCTCTTTCAATAATTGGACACACACGGACAAGTCTAGGGTCTGGCCTTCTTGCCTCTTGAGACGTCTCAAAATGAATCACCTGAGAGCATCTGCTGCCGGATGGGCTGTGTGGTGGCAGCATACGCCCTTTCAAAATCAGCCACCGAAAGAGTTTGACCTCCTCTCCTCACCATCTCGCACACTGCTCGGAACCTGCGGGCAGAAAAAAAAGGGGAGGGGGGGGGGGGGGTTGGGGATGAGCGGGAGGGTTCCTGAGCACAGCAGAAAGCAGTGCAAAAAAAAAAGCGTGGATTTGCCATCTTGTCAATTTACCCGAGCTTGAAAATGTGTGGTGCTGTGCGGTTGACCGCGGTCGACTGCAGCAAAACGGCCAGCACCGAGGGATGCTGGAAAACCGCTTCCACCCGTTCGTTGAACCCCGCTGCGAACGCAGCCCAAGAATCGGTGGCGTTAGGAGGAGCATTGGTAGCAGGTGCAGTGGTGTTGTGGTGAAGTGGAGGAGCAGATGAATCAGGGTTGGGAGGAGCAGGGGAGACGGATGGTGGCCTCTGCGCTGGGAGAGTGAGGGTTGAGTGAAGCAATCTGTGAAGGGGGGGAGGATGAGGGGACACAGAGTGTAACTGGGGACTGAAACAATCAAGAGCTGTTTCAGGTTTAAGTTCCCACCCTCCTTGGCAGGGTTGAGTCAGGGTTGAGTGAAGCAAGCTGTGAAGGGGGTGGAGAGGAGATGAGGGCGCACTGTGAATCACTGGAGATTGAAGAAATCAAGAGCTGTTTGCAGGTTGAGTCCAGCACTGGTTTACAGAGTAAGTCTGCTCCCGCCCCTCACAGGGACAGCTCCAGCAGTTGAAGCGAAAGTGTGCAAAGGGGCTGTACCTGACAAGGTCGTGAGGCGCAAGGGGCTGTACCTGACAAAGTCGTGAGGCTGCGGCGGAAGGAAGATGATTTTGCGGTTGGAGAAGCGCGATCGCACTCGCTTCTCAAGCAGCTGATCCGCGTCCTGAAGGGAGAGGAGGGGTGGGCACACGACGAATGCAAGAGAGCGAGTCCGCGTCCTGAAGGACCATACGAGGGATCCAAAGGACCAGGCAAGCAGCACGTGTGCATTTGAGAGTTACCAGGGTAAGGAGCATGTGCCTGGTCCAAAAGGCCAGGCAAGCAGCAAGGTTAACTTTCAGAAGATGCAGGTTTTGAGGCGCCTCAAACACAGAGTTACCACGCAGCAAAGATAATTTCCAGGAGATGCAAATCTTGTGGAATGAGAGTAACTCAGTCATAGACCTGAGAGGCGGAGACACCAATGACAGCCAGGTGTGTGTCGGGAGAATGCATGAGATCCAAGAGCAGGTAGAGTATTCCCTGCTTGCCCCTCTGTGAGAGGTGGGAGAGGAGAGGGAGACAGTGGGGGATGAGACAGGTGCGTTTTGAGTTGACTCGGAACGCAAGGGAGAGAGTGCATGAAGTCCAAGAGCAGGTAGAGTATTCCCTGCTTGCCCCTCTGTGACACGATGTGAAGGGAGGGAAGAGGGGGGGGGTGCAGTGGGGAATGCCGCAGGTGTGGCTTGTGTCAATGCGGAAGACATGGAGGAGGGCGCATGAGGTGCACGAGCAGGTAGAGTATTCCTTGCTTGCCCCTCTGTGGCAGGAATAGAGAGGGAGACGGAGGAAGGAGGGGGAGGAGGGAAGTGCACGGGGATGCTGATAGGGACGACGAGAAAGAGGCACATTGAAGTCGTAAAGAAAGTGCGCGAGATGCATGGGGTGCATGAGGTGCATGAGGTGTAGAGTCTGTTTTTTGAGAATTCTCAAAAAACAGACTCATCTACAAGAGAGTGCATGAGGTGCAACAATATGTGGAGTACTCCCTGCTTGCCCCACTGTGGTGGGGAGAGGGAGAGAGGAAGACAGCAGGAGGGAGGTGCATCTATTGGGGATACTCACAGAGGCAAAATGGTCGAATTCGTCCAGCACCACAATGAGTGACCTTGTGGCTTTCGAGCAGAAGTGGCATGGGGCGTTATGGGGAGACTTACAGAGGCAGAGGGACTACTGAGGCGCCTCAACAGTGGGCTCATTACAAGGGGAGGTGCATCTATTGGGGAGACTCACCGAGGCGAAGTGGTCGAATTCGTCGAGCACCACAATGAGCGATCTTCTGGCTTCAGAGCACAGCCTGCATGCAGAGCATTGTGTTGGGGTGGGTGCTAAGAAAAGATTATGAGAGTTGACTTTTGGGTCGACTCAAAAGCTTAAAAGAGATGATGAGAGTATTCAGAAGCACGACGCAGAATCAGCTGGTTGGAGAGCAAAGGGTGCAGAGCAGAGGAGGAGGAGGATGAAAGAAGGAGACGAAGCAGGCATGTGGGAGTGTGGCTTCTTGGGTGGACAGGATATTGAGAGGTGACAGGCTAGCAATCATGTGGATGTCACAGTGCAGCGCGGTGCAGCGCGGTGCAGTGTAACATCTCATTGAGAAGGCAAGAAGGAGGTGGCGGCTGACTGAGGGAGACAGAGTGAGGGAGGTCAAACCACCTGGGAGTCCTGACGCATGAAAAGCACCTGAGCACCTGAACAAGCACCTGAAGGTGCAGACTGCCACCTGAGGATCTAGCACCTGAAGGGGCAGACGGGCACCTGAAAGGCAGACGGGCACCTGAGGACGTGGTGAAGCATCCAGACGTTGTCCGAGTAGGAATGCTGGCGTGTGATTGGTGGAGGGGAGAGGGAAAGGGGAGGGGGAATCAGGACAAGGAGTCACATTGAGAATTGCGATGCGGTGAGGAGGAGGAGGAGGTAGCGGTGTAGCAGCAGAGAGAAGGGCAGAGGGAGGAGGAAAGTCATTGTTAAGAGAAATTTGAACAGTGACTTAGAGTGATGGGGAAAGAACCACTTTGAAATCTCAAAGTGACTCAGCGTACCAGGGAGAGAGCGTTGAGGTGAGGCAATGTTTGAGTCGCCTGGGAAAGGACTTCATTTTTTGTGCGACTTCTCTCAAAGTGACTCAGATTACCAGGGAGAGGGAATCGAGGTGAGGCAGAGAGGCTGACAGCTGGCGAGCCATTTCCTGGAGAGGTCAGGGCGAAAGGGGGGAGCGGGGGAAGGCAGAGGTGTGCGATTGCATGCCATGGCAAGGCATGGAAAGGCCTGGCATGGCATGCATGGTATGGCATGGCACTGCATGGTATGGCATGGCATGGCATGCATGGTATGGCATGGCAATGCATGGTATGGCATGGCATGGCATGTTGATGAGCCCACCTTGAGAGCGGCTCGGTCGTCAGCATGCATGCGACCATCCAGATGCACCTGATGGTTCGGATGGGGTGGGATGGGGTGCGATCGGGTGCGATAGGCTGGGTGGGATAGTGGGATGATGAGATGGGATGGTCGCATGGCAACGCATGGGGTGGCATGGTACGGCGTACAAGGATGGAGGGTGCGTGATGGGTGGAGTAGGAAATGCACGGCATGGCATGGCATGGCATGGTATGGCATGGCATGGTGATATGCATAACACTGAGGGCCAAAAGGTAGCCAGCCACGTGTCACTCAGAAATACAGCCACGTTCCAGCACGTGTCAACAGGGGACTCACAGCAAGAAACGGTGGAGTGTGGGGTGATGCACGCAGGTCAGCCAACGCACGCTGCAGCACCTGAGGGAAATGCAGTGGCGTGGGAAGGTGTGGGAAGGAGGGGAGGTGGGTTTGAAGGAACTCAAATCACGCCGCCAGCAGTGGGAAGGAGGGGACGAGCTAAAGCCACTAACCAGAGTCTTGCCGCATCCTCTGGGTCCGAGAAGAAGCAGCGAGAGGCACAGCCCATCGCACGCCACGTCGCGCAGCATGCCGTGCAGCCGCTCGCGATTGCTCTCGTTTTCCGCCGTCAGAATCACCTCCCGCACGCGCCTGCTGCTGTCGCTCTCCGCGCTCTCCCCACTCTCTCCCCTCTCGCCGCGCTCCCCATTCTCCCCGCGCTCTCCGCGGCTCGTCACGGCGCTCGGCTGCCACGTCAGCCGCTCCTTCAGCACTCGCACCGCCACGGCCGCGTCGTCCTCCTCCATGCCCGCCGCGTTCGGCGGCGCGTTTTGCGGCGGGACACTGCTGCCTGCGCCGCTCTAGTCGCGAGGTCAAGGTGGCTTTAGACGCTTCGAGCCGGTCTAATGTGGTCAATTTCAGTCTAATGCGGTCTGAAGGGCTACTTGCATCGCCAGCTGCAGCGGGTGCTAGACTGCTAGTCTAGGATTTAGGGGAGGGGAAATTGAGAAACCCTAGTTTGAGTTGAACATCGGAGCCTGAACCACAATTTGGAAGATTTATGCGAATTTGAGACTTGCACTTGCAAACCCGAAACCCTAACTTCTAGCTTCGCGACGAAATCACCAGCCCCATTATTGATCACTATCAACCATCAACCGTAACAGTCCTATCAGCGTTCAGACGACCGATAGTTCGCCGTGCGACGGCGTGTGCGACGTTGCCGAGCGACGAGCATGGACGCTGCGAATCTGAAGCTCGCGGAGGGGCTGGTGTCGCCGTCGTACGTGCGACAGGGCGCGCAGTCGCTCGCGCAGCGACACAACATGGTGCGATTGCCACGTGACAATCAGTCATATCTAGTCGGCTTAGCCGTTTAGACTACCTTACTGAACCTGCATATCCTCGAACATAATACTTTGTCAAACATAGTGAGCTGCATCTGGTCGTAGCTACTTGGTGAAGCCATTTATGGTTCAAGGTCTCTAACTGTGAATGTCATCACGAACCATGGAAGCTTACCTTTAAGTAAAAACCTTGCATGCCTGCCCGCCACGTGGCACATGGCATGGCAGGTGAAGAGCCTGTTATCGCAAAGGAAGCTCCCAAGGGACGGCTGGGATGACGACACGATCGAGATGCTTCTCAAGGTGAGGAGCGACACACAGAACTGCACACGGCACTGGGTTGATTCTCAAGGTGAGAAGCACGAGACAGCAATGCAATGCTGCTGAAAGTGAAATCCTTCTGCTCCTTGTGCAATCCTTTAGAGTATTCTCAAAAGTGACTGGAATTCCACAACCACCTCATCATGAGATAAGGATGGTCCCAAGGATGGTCCCAAGGATGGTCCCAAGAATGGTCCCAAGGAGAAAAGAACATCAGCCCTTGACACTGTTGCAAATAAAGGATGATCCCGAGGAGAAAGGACACCTGTCCACATTCCATCCCATGCCCACCTCCATCACATTTGCACCAGGACCTGTCACTGATGGACAGCAGTGGGTTCAAGGGGAATGTGGGCATGGGGGAGGGGGAGGATTTCCGAGTCAAATTAATACCCTCGTGTGCTGATTTCACCACCCCACCTCCAACCCATCCCCACACATGACGCACCAGGACCTGTCACTGATGGATAGCAGTGGGTTCAGGGGGGGCGTGGGCATGGGGGAGAGGGAGGCGCGGTGTGCAAGTGGGCTGGTGAGGCGGCGACACTTTGGGATGACGCACGGCATGGGGCGATCGGGGAACATTGCAGACGAGCAGCCTAAGGTGGGCTCCGAGGCCACTCTTCATGGCATGACAATGCAGTAGCCAATATGAGATGAGTCTGTTATGACACTACGGCATGAAGCATGGCATGGGGATGGGGCGGTCGGGGAATACCGCAGACGAGCAGCCTGAGGTGGGATGTGAGTCTGCACCTCATGGCATGTGTGTGTCATGCCTATAAGTGAGGCACTTGGGCATGACGCATGGCATGGGGCGAGTAGGGAGCATTACAGATGAGCAGCCAAAGGCTTTTGAGTCGACTCAAAAGGGAGCATTACAGATGAGCAGCCAAAGGCTTTTGAGTCGACTCAAAAGGGAGCATTACAGATGAGCAGCCAAAGGCTTTTGAGTCGACTCAAAAGGGAGCATTACAGATGAGCAGCCAAAGGCTTTTGAGTCGACTCAAAAGGGAGCATTACAGATGAGCAGCCAAAGGCTTTTGAGTCGACTCAAAAGGGAGCATTACAGATGAGCAGCCAAAGGCTTTTGAGTCGACTCAAAAGGGAGCATTACAGATGAGCAGCCAAAGGCTTTTGAGTCGACTCAAAAGGGAGCATTACAGATGAGCAGCCAAAGGCTTTTGAGTCGACTCAAAAGGGAGCATTACAGATGAGCAGCCAAAGGCTTTTGAGTCGACTCAAAAGGGAGCATTACAGATGAGCAGCCAAAGGCTTTTGAGTCGACTCAAAAGGGAGCATTACAGATGAGCAGCCAAAGGCTTTTGAGTCGACTCAAAAGGGAGCATTACAGATGAGCAGCCAAAGGCTTTTGAGTCGACTCAAAAGGGAGCATTACAGATGAGCAGCCAAAGGCTTTTGAGTCGACTCAAAAGGGAGCATTACAGATGAGCAGCCAAAGGCTTTTGAGTCGACTCAAAAGGGAGCATTACAGATGAGCAGCCAAAGGCTTTTGAGTCGACTCAAAAGGGAGCATTACAGATGAGCAGCCAAAGGTGTGCACTCATACGTCGGCCATTCCGCCATCATACCTACCATGCCATGTGCCATGTTCCATCCCCCATATTCCATGTACCATCCCCCATATCCCATGTACCATCTCCCATATCCCATGTACCATCTCCCATATCCCATGTACCATCTCCCATATCCCATGTACCATCTCCCATGTCCCATGTACCATCTCCCATATCCCATGTACCATCTCCCATGTCCCATGTACCATCTCCCATATTCCATGTACCATCTCCCATGTCCCATGTACCATCTCCCATATCCCATGTACCATCTCCCATGTCCCATGTACCATCTCCCATATCCCATGTACCATCTCCCATATCCCATGTACCATCTCCCATGTCCCATGTACCATCTCCCATATCCCATGTACCATCTCCCATGTCCCATGTACCATCTCCCATATCCCATGTACCATCTCCCATGTCCCATCCCATGTACCATCTCCCATATCCCATGTACCATCTCCCATATCCCATGTACCATCTCCCATGTCCCATGTACCATCTCCCATATCCCATGTACCATCTCCCATATCCCATGTACCATCTCCCATGTCCCATGTACCATCTCCCATATCCCATGTACCATCTCCCATGTCCCTTGTACCATCTCCCATATCCCATGTACCATCTCCCATATCCCATGTACCATCTCCCATATCCCATGTACCATCTCCCATGTCCCATGTACCATCTCCCATATCCCATGTACCATCTCCCATGTCCCATGTACCATCTCCCATGTCCCATGTACCATCTCCCATATCCCATGTACCATCTCCCATGTCCCATGTACCATCTCCCATATCCTATGTACCATCTCCCATATCCCATGTACCATCTCCCATGTCCCATGTACCATCTCCCATATCCCATGTACCATCTCCCATGTCCCATGTACCATCTCCCATATCCCATGTACCATCTCCCATATCCCATGTACCATCTCCCATGTCCCATGTACCATCTCCCATATCCCATGTACCATCTCCCATATCCCATGTACCATCTCCCATGTCCCATGTACCATCTCCCATGTCCCATATATGTACCATCTCCCATGTCCCATACACCCCCACCCATCCACCCCCACCCATCCACCAGGCAGCAGGGTCAACGCTAGCATGTCGTCTCACCAGTCTGTTCCGGAAGGATGCCCTCTGGCTCGCAGGTCTCCAAAAAAGTCCTCCATGTGACTTCTGCTCCCCCTGTGCCACTGTGTCCCATGTACCATCCCAATCCACCAGGCAGCTGGGTCAACGCTGGCATGCCGCCTCACCAATCTGCTTGTCAAGGACGCCCTCTCTCTTCCAGGCCTCAAAGCTTCTCCCATATACGCGCAGTGTGTGCTGTGTGCGCTGTGCCATGTGCCATGTCCCGTCCACCATCTCAATCCACCAGGCAGCGGGGTCAACACTGGCATGCCGCCTCACAAACCTACTCGTGAAGGACGCCCTCTCCCTCGCAGGCCTCAAAGGTAACTCCCTATTTTATATGAGGCGATTGGTTTTCATCGGTCTTTAAGTCGACTCAAAAACCGCCTCACGAACCTACTCGTGAAGGACGCCCTCTCCCTCGCAGGCCTCAAAGGTAACTCCCTATTTTATATGAGGCGATTGGTTTTCATCGGTCTTTAAGTCGACTCAAAAACCGCCTCACGAACCTACTCGTTAAGGACGCCCTCTCCCTCGCAGGCCTCAAAGGTAACTCTCTATTTTATATGAGGCGTTTGGTTTTCACCGGACTGATCGTGCTCCATGTGTATGCTCGTGCATGTATGTCACCGTGCACATATGTCATCCTTATGTGGCGGTCTGTCCCCCATCCGTCAGACATATCGGCAGTGACGGTGCTGCCGGTGGCAACAGGCATGGCCCTCACTCTCTCTCTCCTCGCTCTCAAAGCCAGCAGACCTGCCGCACAGTAAGTGAGTGATGGAGCGAGGGAGGGAGGGAGGGAGGGAGGGAGGGAGGGAGGGAGGGAGGGAGGGAGGGAGGGAGGGAGGGAGGGAGGGAGGGAGGGAGGGAGGGAGGGAGGGAGGGAGGAAGGGAGTGAGGGAGGGAGGGAGGGAGGGAGGGAGGGAGGGAGGGAGGGAGGGAGGATGGGAGGAAGGGAGGGAGGGAGGAAGGGAGGGAGTGAGGGAGGGAGGGAGGGAGGGAGGGAGGGAGGGAGGGAAGGAGGGAGGGAGGGAGGGAGGGAGGGAGGGAGGGAGGGAGGGAGGGAGGGAGGGAGGGAGGGAGTGAGGGAGGGAGGGAGGAAGGAAGGGAGTGAGGGAGGGAAGGATGGAATCTGTTGACTGAGCAAATAGGCATCTGCCATCTGCATGCTGTTCAGTGTTTCCAATGTGCTGTGACGCGGCACACTGATGGCATGGGATGGCATGGCATGGCATGTGCCCTATGGCATGGCGTGGCAGGTACGTGCTATGGTCTCGCATCGACCAGAAGACATGCCTCAAGTGCATCGTCACTGCCAGCCTCACTCCCGTGGTGGGTGAATGAAGAGTGAAGCACCAAGTTCCCACTCAGAAATACTCCAACACACAACACAAGTACAGAGCTTTGTCCCACACACAACACACAAATACATGCTCTGGGCCCACCCGCATGCCTCAAGTGCATCGTCACTGCTGGCGTCACTCCCGTGGTGGGTGAATCAAGCATGCGTTGATATGCACCAAGTTACTCAGTTCACGAGACACACATGCTATGGTCCGTGCTACTGTGGTTGCACCCACATACACATGCCTGAAGTGCGTCCTCACTCCTGCTGGTCCGAACCTGCTTTGCACTCCGAACTGCAAGAGTGAGACCTCATACACTGCCAGCCTCACTCCTGCAGTCCGAACCCCCTCCCCCGCAACCCATCCCAGGTGGTTCCTCTGCACAAGGACGGAGACCAGCTGTGCACGGACCTTGCAGCCATGGAAAGGGAGGTGCACTCCCGAGGGGCGCACGCACAGGACAGCAAGGTCCGTGCACAGCAAGGTCCGTGCACAGCAAGGTCCGTGCACAGCAAGGTCCGTGCACTCCCCAAATGTCCCAAGGAACAGGCCCTTGGCACACTTACACCCCCAACCCCCCTCTCCGCAACCCATCCCAGGTGGTTCCTCTGCACAAGGACGGAGACCAGCTGTGCACGGACCTTGCGGCCATGGAAAGGGAAATAAATTCTCGAGGGGCCGACAGCATCCTCTGCGTGCTCTCAACCACCTCCTGCTTCGCTCCCAGGTGATTTTCCAGGCTTATTGAAAGCGCCCGACTTCTCGAAAGAGTTCCTGACAGCGCTGAATCGATTGCCCGCCTCTGTTCCTGTCTTGCCATCCCCCGCCTCTGTTCCTGTCTCGCCATCCCCCGCCTCTGTTCCTGTCTCGCCATCCCCCGCGTCATCAACAACGCATTCGGCGTGCAGAGCGCTGCTATCAGCGCTCACATGGACTGGTATCCCCTGCCGCCTCCTGCTGCCCCCATCAGGGCTCCTGATACTGTCCAGCCCATGGCACGCAGAGTCAGAGTCAAGTACGGCGTGCAGAGCGCTGCTATCAGTGCTGCCATCACACGAGCTCTGTCATCCTCTCACCACGTCCCTCCCACTCACCCCTGTCAGGGCTCCTGATAACGTCGAGCCCATGGCACGTCCTGATAACGTCGAGCCCATGGCACGTCCTGATCACGTCGAGCCCATGGCACGTCCTGATAACGTCGAGCCCATGGCACGTCCTGATCACGTCGAGCCCATGGCACGTCCTGATAACGTCGAGCCCATGGCACGTCCTGATCACGTCGAGCCCATGGCACGTCCTGATCACGTCGAGCCCATGGCACGTCCTGATCACGTCGAGCCCATGGCACGTCCTGATCACGTCGAGCCCATGGCACGTCCTGATAACGTCGAGCCCATGGCACGTCCTGATAACGTCGAGCCCATGGCACGTCCTGATCACGTCGAGCCCATGGCACGTCCTGATAACGTCGAGCCCATGGCACGTCCTGATCACGTCGAGCCCATGGCACGTCCTGATAACGTCGAGCCCATGGCACGTCCTGATCACGTCGAGCCCATGGCACGTCCTGATCACGTCGAGCCCATGGCACGTCCTGATCACGTCGAGCCCATGGCACGTCCTGATCACGTCGAGCCCATGGCACGTCCTGATCACGTCGAGCCCATGGCACGTCCTGATAACGTCGAGCCCATGGCACGTCCTGATCACGTCGAGCCCATGGCACGTCCTGATAACGTCGAGCCCATGGCACGTCCTGATCACGTCGAGCCCATGGCACGTCCTGATCACGTCGAGCCCATGGCACGTCCTGATAACGTCGAGCCCATGGCACGTCCTGATAACGTCGAGCCCATGGCACGTCCTGATCACGTCGAGCCCATGGCACGTCCTGATAACGTCGAGCCCATGGCACGTCCTGATCACGTCGAGCCCATGGCACGTCCTGATAACGTCGAGCCCATGGCACGTCCTGATCACGTCGAGCCCATGGCACGTCCTGATCACGTCGAGCCCATGGCACGTCCTGATCACGTCGAGCCCATGGCACGTCCTGATCACGTCGAGCCCATGGCACGTCCTGATCACGTCGAGCCCATGGCACGTCCTGATCACGTCGAGCCCATGGCACGTCCTGATCACGTCGAGCCCATGGCACGTCCTGATCACGTCGAGCCCATGGCACGTCCTGATAACGTCGAGCCCATGGCACGTCCTGATAACGTCGAGCCCATGGCACGTCCTGATCAAGTCGAGCCCATGGCACGTCCTGATCACGTCGAGCCCATGGCACGTCCTGATCACGTCGAGCCCATGGCACGTCCTGATCACGTCGAGCCCATGGCACGTCCTGATAACGTCGAGCCCATGGCACGTCCTGATCACGTCGAGCCCATGGCACGTCCTGATCACGTCGAGCCCATGGCACGTCCTGATCACGTCGAGCCCATGGCACGTCCTGATAACGTCGAGCCCATGGCACGTCCTGATAACGTCGAGCCCATGGCACGTCCTGATCACGTCGAGCCCATGGCACGTCCTGATCACGTCGAGCCCATGGCACGTCCTGATCACGTCGAGCCCATGGCACGTCCTGATAACGTCGAGCCCATGGCACGTCCTGATCACGTCGAGCCCATGGCATGTCCTGATCACGTCGAGCCCATGGCACGTCCTGATCACGTCGAGCCCATGGCACGTCCTGATCACGTCGAGCCCATGGCACGTCCTGATAACGTCGAGCCCATGGCACGTCCTGATCACGTCGAGCCCATGGCACGTCCTGATCACGTCGAGCCCATGGCACGTCTCTGCCACAGTCTCTCCATCCCACACGTCATCAACAACGAGCATGGCGTGCAGAGCGCTGCCATCAGCGCTCACGTCACGTGAAGTGCTGCCCCCTGCATCCCGTCTCCTGCTCCCATCCCACTCAGAGCTCCTGATCATGTGGAATCTATTGCTCGCCTCTGTGCTCGTCTCTCCATCCCCCACGTCATCAACAACGCATACGGCGTGCAGAGCGCTGCCATTAGTGCTGCCATCACACGCGCATGGAGGAGGGGGCGGGTGGATGCAGTGGTGCAGAGCACCGATAAGAACTTTCTTGTTCCGGTCGGTGGGGCTGTTGTTGCCGCTGGTCCTGGGCGGTCAACACTGGTCAATGCAGTCAACGCCTCGTACCCCGGTGGGTGGGTGGAATGAGATGGACGAGGGGCCATGGAGGAGGGGGCTGGAGGTGTGGAAAAGGGAGAGGGGGGGTGGGGGGAGGAAAGGGCCGTGGCAGAGCGGGCATGAGGAAGGGGCGTGGAGGAAGGGGTATGGAGGAGAGCGACTGCTGCAGTAGTGCAGCAACCTTCTTCCCCACGCTTTGCACTTCACATGCCAAACCCATGCCCCATCCCACACCCCATCCCACACCCCATCCCACACCCCATCCCACACCCATCCACACCCATCCCACACCCCATCCCACACCCCATCCCACACCCCATCCCACACCCCATCCCACACCCCATCCCACCCCCATCCCACAACCCCATCCCCACACCCCATCCCACACCCCATCCCACACCCCATCCCACACCCCATCCCACACCCCATCCACACCCCATCCACACCCATCCCACACCCGATCCCACACCCCATCCCACACCCCATCCCACACCCAATCCCACACCCCATCCCACACCCCATCCCACACCCCATCCCACACCCCATCCCACACCCCATCCCACACCCCATCCCACACCCACACACCCCATCCCACACCCATCCCACACCCATCCCACACCCCATCCCACACCCCATCCCACACCCCATCCCACACCCCATCCCACACCCCATCCCACACCCCATCCCACACCCCATCCCACACCCCATCCCACACCCCATCCCACACCCCATCCCACACCCCATCCCACACCCCATCCCACACCCCATCCCACACCCCATCCCACACCCCATCCCACACCCCATCCCACACCCCATCCCACACCCCATCCCACACCCCATCCCACACCCCATCCCACACCCCATCCCACACCCCATCCCACACCCCATCCCACACCCCATCCCACACCCCATCCACACCCCATCCCACACCCCATCCCACACCCCATCCCACACCCCATCCCACACCCCATCCCACACCCCATCCCACACCCCATCCCACACCCCATCCCACACCCCATCCCACACCCCATCCCACACCCCATCCCACACCCCATCCCACACCCCATCCCATCCCACACCCCATCCCACACCCCATCCCACACCCCATCCCACACCCCATCCCACACCCCATCCCACACCCCATCCCACACCCCATCCCACACCCCATCCCACACCCCATCCCACACCCCATCCCACACCCCATCCCACACCCCATCCCACACCCCATCCCACACCCCATCCCACACCCCATCCCACACCCCATCCCACACCCCATCCACACCCCATCCCACACCCCATCCCACACCCCATCCCACACCCCATCCCACACCCCATCCCACACCCCATCCCACACCCCATCCCACACCCCATCCCACACCCCATCCCACACCCCATCCACACCCCATCCCACACCCCATCCCACACCCCATCCCACACCCCATCCCACACCCCATCCCACACCCCATCCCACACCCCATCCCACACCCCATCCACACCCCATCCACACCCCATCCCACACCCCATCCCACACCCCATCCCACACCCCATCCCACACCCCATCCCACACCCCATCCCACACCCCATCCCACAACCCCATCCCACACCCAATCCCACACCCAATCCCACACCCCATCCCACACCCCATCCCACACCCCATCCCACACCCCATCCCACACCCCATCCCACACCCCATCCCACACCCTATCCCACAACCCATCCCACAACCCCATCCCACACCCCATCCCACACCCCATCCCACACCCCATCCCACACCCCATCCCACACCCCATCCCACACCCCATCCCACACCCCATCCCACACCCCATCCCACACCCCATCCCACACCCCATCCCACACCCCATCCCACACCCCATCCCACACCCCATCCCACACCCCATCCCACACCCCATCCCACACCCCATCCCACACCCCATCCCACAACCCCATCCCACACCCCATCCCACACCCCATCCCACACCCCATCCCACACCCCATCCCACACCCCATCCCACAACCCCATCCCACACCCCATCCCACACCCCATCCCACACCCCATCCCACACCCCATCCCACACCCCATCCCACACCCCATCCCACACCCCATCCCACACCCCATCCCACACCCCATCCCACACCCCATCCCACACCCCATCCCACACCCCATCCCACACCCCATCCCACACCCCCATCCCACACCCCATCCCACACCCCATCCCACACCCCATCCCACACCCCATCCCACAACCCCATCCCACACCCCATCCCACACCCCATCCCACACCCCATCCCACACCCCATCCCACACCCCATCCCACACCCCATCCCACACCCCATCCCACACCCCATCCCACACCCCATCCCACACCCCATCCCACACCCCATCCCACACCCCATCCCACACCCCATCCCACACCCCATTCCACACCCCATCCCACACCCCATCCCACACCCCATCCCACACCCCATCCCACACCCCATCCCACACCCCATCCCACACCCCATCCCACACCCCATCCCACACCCCATCCCACACCCCATCCCACACCCCATCCCACACCCCATCCCCCATCCCATCCCCCAGGTCACCCCACCCCAGGCCGTGCCTCCATATCGGCCATCCTAGACGTCCTCATAACCCTCCTCTCCCTGGGGGCGAGCGGGTGGCAGGCGCTGGTGCCGCTGAAGGAGCAACTCACTCCTTTACCCCGCCCCACCTCACCACAACCCACCACACTCCACCCCACCCCACCCCACCCCACCCCATCCCACCCCAGGCCGGGCGTCCATCTCGCCCATCCTAGACGTCCTCATAACCCTTCTCTCCCTGGGGGCGAGCGGCTGGCAGGCGCTGCTTCAGGAGCGAGAGCAGCTCTTCCCTTACCTGAGGGAGAAGATGCGAGGGGTGGCAGAGAGGCATGGTGAGTGGTGTGGTGTTATGTGGAAACGGCAGTAGCCTATCTGGTGGTCTCTGGTGTATGTACAGCATCTCTGTGCTGTGCTGCAGCAGAGGGAGCAGCTCTTTCCTTACCTGAGTGAGAAGATGCGAGGGGTGGCAGAGAGGCATGGTGAGTGGTGTGGTGTTATGTGGAAACGGCAGTAGCCTATCTGGTGGTCTCTGGTGTATGTACAGCATCTCTGTGCTGTGCTGCAGCAGAGGGAGCAGCTCTTTCCTTACCTGAGGGAGAAGATGCGAGGGGTGGCAGAGAGGCACGGTGAGTGGTGTGGTGTTATGTGGAAACGGCAGTAGGCTGCCCGGTACTGTCTGGTTTAGCAATGGCAGTCGCTGCTGCAGGAGCGAGAGCAGCTGTTTCCTTACCTGAGGGAGAAGGTGCAAGGGGTGGCAGAGAGGCTTGGTGAGAAGTCTTAGCAACAGTAGAAGCCTCCCCACCACATATCTCCTCCCCCTTCCCCTCGTGCCATCCTTGACATATACAGGAGAGAGGCTGCTGCAGTCGCCACACAACCCCATCTCCCTAGCCATCTCCCTCTCCTCCCTCATCAAATGTCACCTTTTCCCTGTCACACCTCCTCGTATACCCTCCCCCTCCCCCTTGTGCTAAAACTTATCTCTACAGGAGAGCGGCTGCTGCAGTCGCCAGACGACCCCATCTCCCTCTCCTTCCTTACTAGATGTCACCCCCACCACGTATCACCTCCCCCACGTACCACCTCCTCCTCCCCCTTATCTCTACAGGAGAGCGGCTGCTGCAGTCACCAGACAGTCCCATCTCCCTAGCCATATCCCCGTCCTCCCTCATCAAATATCACCACCCCCACATATCACCTCCCCCTCCCCTGACAGGAGAGCGGCTGCTGCAGTCGCCAGACAATCCCATCTCCCTCTCCTTCCTTACTAGATGTCACCTCCCCCACATATCACCTCCCCAATGTATCACCTCCCCCATGTATCACCTCCCCCTCCCCCATCCCTTAACAGGAGAGCGGCTGCTGCAGTCGCCAGACAACCCGATCTCCCTAGCCATCTCCCTCTCCTCCCTCGTCCCCGCTCACGCACATGCTGACGTGGCATGCGCTGCTGCTGACTCAGCACCGCCAGCCGTGTCAACGCCAGCTGTTGCTGCTGCTGCTGACATGGCTGGCTCGGAGCCCTCGTTGGCAACAACAGGGGAAACATCAGAGGAGCTAGCAGCTTCTGTGCTGTTGGCACCACCAGTAGCAGTATCATCAGCAGCACCACCACCAGTAGCATTACCACCAGCAGCAGCAGCAAAAGCAGCAGCAGCGGGTGTGGAGCAGAGGGAGACATTCGACTCGGGAGAACAAACCAGCTCACCAGCAGCAGCACCAACAGAATCAGCACCACCACCTCCAAAACCACCAGCAGCAACAGCAGCAGCAGCAGCGGGTGTGGAGCAGAGGGAGACATTTGACTCAAGACAACTCACCATCCCACCGGGAGCAGCCGCCTCACCCGCCACTGCCGCTTCTCTCGCCTCGCTTCTCTCCATCCCACCAACCCAAGCACCTGCATCCCTGCGTGATCCCTCTATAAAGACCTCGTCGCCCTCCACCCCCCCACCACACGCGTCCTCCACCCCCCCACCACACACGTCCTCCACCCCCCCACCACACACGTCCTCCACCCCCCCACCACACGCGTCCCCCACCCCCATCCCCTCTGCTGAGGCCACCTCTACCACCACCACTAAAGCGGAGACCACAAAAGCGCCCCTCAAGTCACCACCACAAGCCCCCCCCATCACGTTCCTGGGCTCGATGCTCTTCTCACGGTGCGTCTTTGCCTTTTTCGCCTCCCCTTTTCCATTGAGTTTTTCTTGATATAATCAATGTTAATCTGGGCCAAATTGTTTGTGCATCAAGTTTGTATCGAGTTATTCTGCAATGAATCATTCTCTAGCAAGTCAGTAAAAATGAAAAAAACAAAACAAAAACAAAAAAACAAAGAAACAAACAAAAAATCACATCTTGCTATTCCTCACTCCTTTCTCAGCCCCTCTTCCTCAGCCCCTCTTTCTCAGCCCCTCTTTCTCAGCCCCTCTTTCTCAGCCCCTCTTTCTCAGCCCCTCTTTCTCAGCCCCTCTTTCTCAGCCCCTCTTTCTCAGCCCCTCTTCCTCAGCCCCTCTTTCTCAGCCCCTCTTTCTCAGCCCCTCTTCCTCAGCCCCTCTTTCTCAGCCCCTCTTTCTCAGCCCCTCTTTCTCAGCCCCTCTTTCTCACACCCTTTTTTGCCCCTGTTTGTCTTACCCTCTTTCTTGCACCCTCTTTCTCTCGCCTCCCATCGCCCATGTCAGCTTTGTGTCAGGTTGCCGAGTCGTGCCGCAAGGTGTGAAGCAAACTATAGGAGGCGTGGCACTGCAAGGATTCGGATCATCTTATGATAGGTACACATCCTGAACGTAACACCTTGTCATCCGTGTTACGTATGTATCAAGTCAAATCCTGGTTACGCTGTGCTGAGTGTGTGCAGCTCATTTTATTGCTACCGATATTTGTTCTGTGCTTTGTCACAAACCCTGCAACCTATATCACTGGAACGGCATTAGCTGCTCCAGTACGGTTTTCATTGTTGACTCAAAACACATTTACCTTTCCATTTCTGTTGTTTTTGCTGCCTATCTCCTGTGTGTGAGGAAGCTACTCTGTACCGTATCTCACGGCAGCTGCTGCTATAGGAGGTTCAAAGGAAGAGGTGGACGACTTTATTGTCCGCCTTAATACCTGCCTTGTTGATTTCAAAAAGAAGTTGCGGAGTTCCCAAGGGCTGGAAAATCCTAAACCATAGACCCGGAGTTGATACTCTAAACCCAAATCCCGGTTTAGTCTGGCCAAGTCACAGTCAAGTTGACGAAAGAACAATATACGGTGATAATGGTGTAGTGCATTTATCTCGAATGTTGTACGATCTCTGTTAGCCATTGAACATAGGTTTTATAAGCACTGCCTCGGTCGACATCGAATCGAATGGGGGTCCACTTAAAACCAGGGTCTCACGTACCGTATTCTCCCGGACATAACACCCTAGGGTATAGCTAAAAATACAGGGAAAAAATGGGGGGGGTCTCATAGGAAAAAAATACATAATACCCGGGTCTTTACATATGGCATATTTTAGTGTTAGTGTTTTTTTAATTAGTCAATGTGGGTGTTTTGCTGGTCGTTTTAGCATCACTGCCTGAGGTGCGAATGTCAGTTTCGGCCTCGAACTTCATCGCCCTCACGAAAATGCCATGTGACACCTCTCTTGCCACTTGCAACGGAAGATTCACCTGCACGTGGCAACAGAGAAATAGTGGGAGGGGGCAAATCTCGGCAGATTGCCTTTGAATGTACCGCGAAATTTCATTGAGGGAGAAATTCACACGATATTCTTCCGTATTGCAGCTACTCGTTAACGACTATAATAATGAATCCGTAAGAAAAGGGGGGGGTTCTAGAAAATCAGCCAAAAAGGGGGGTATAGTAGAAACGAGGTCTATCATAACACCCACCCCGCACAAGCTACCCGGGGGTGTACAATTATGGGGGGGTGTTTTGTCCGGGAGTAAACGGTAAGAGAAATCGTGATCAACTGCAAAACAAATGAAGCTAAGTCACCCTGTTTGAGGTGGCGAAGTCCACAGGTTGGTTTGGCATTTGACTGTGCGACACCTCCCGTTTTTGCCTGTGATGCAATTGCAAAACATTTTGATGGTACATGAGACTGACAGGATGCTCGAACATTTTGCGGGTGTTTTAGCTTTGGCACCAAACCAATTTCCGTGCCTAGATGGTTCGGACACAAACTGCGATTTGTGTTTCCTTCGCTCCCCTCGTCGCACTCCTCGTCATTCTTTCCACCTCGCCAGCCAATCCTAACCAGGGTGAAGTCATCAACTGCAAAACAAATGATCTACGTGAGACCCTGGTTTTAACTATCAAAGGGGGATGGGAGGAGGAGTACCTAACCAAACATGCCATGGAAAACTCCTAGTTGTTTCAACACTATCAAGTCACCACCTCCATCCCCCTTCTGAATTTGTACGTCCCTTCTTTAGGATAATATACACTAGAACCATCTACAAGCATCACCGTTACCAGTATGCCAGATACTATATGCTGTTGAACAAGAATGAATGAACTAACAGTGAAATGAGTACAAGTATGAAAAACTAGGAATGTGTACCCCCTATAGGCTAACCCACTGTAGCCTAAACAACTACAACAACATATATAATGTTTGACACATCCCCATAGGCGAAGTGGGGGAGAACTAGGGGTCACAAGACCAGTCAAGTAAAGCAAAGCAAGCTCAGGGTGGATCACAACGTCACCACACAATCCGAGCACAAGTGCAAGGCCACAAGGCCAGTTCACATGCAGGAGTACATATATATATATATAAGACTAAACAAGCAAGAGCAGTGATATATATATATATATATATGTAACAGGACAAAGAGAGTCAAGAGGAGAGCAAGTGAGGCAAGACAGACACAAGACCCAGCTGGGTACAGCAGCGTTGATGATCACAAGGCGGAAGTGCCTTGGTGAAGACATCAGCAGTGTTGGCCTCAGAGGCCACGTACGCAAGCCGCAACTGGCCACGCTGCTGTAGCTCACGAGCAAGGAAGTAGCGGAGAGCAATGTGCTTTGTTCTGTGCTCCAGTCTCTGCTCCCGACACAAGGCCAGCATGGCCTTGTTGTCGTCGTACAGGACTGGAGGAGAACGAGGCGGCTCTCCAAGGTCGGTCAGCAGGTAGGTGAGCCAGCGAAGCTCCTGAGCAGCCATGGCCCCTGCGTAGATCTCAGCCTCACAACTGGAGCCGAGAACAGAAGACGAGCGAGTAGCCCGCCACGAAACAGAGCCGGAACCAAGGCTGAAGGTGTAACCCTGTGACGACCGCTGCGTAGCCTGGTCGTCAACCCAAGAAGCGTCTGCGTGTCCAGTGAGGACCACTGGACTCCGCCCTCCAAGCACTAGCCCCATGCCCGACGTACTGCACAAGTAGCGCAACACCCTCTTCGTTGCAGCCATGTGCTCTGGTCGGTGTCTCCCAGGAGCAACATAGCGCGCAAGAATGCTAAGAGGGTATGCAAGGTCAGGTCGTGTGCAGGTCATCAGGTACATGAGACAGCCAACAAGCTCTGGGTACGGGCCACTCGACTCTACGGACTCATCCGAAGGCAGAGCTGAGAGCGAGTGGCGAGTAGACAGAGGAGTGGCCTGAGGCGAGGAGTACGTGAAGCCGAAGCGCTGAAGGACCTGCTGCACCATGTGTGACTGAGTCAGGGTAATGGTGCGGCGTGCTCTATCCCGGGTGATCTGCAAGCCAAGGTAGCTGCGCAGTTCACCCAGGTCAGTGCACGTGTGTCTCTTCTGCAGCTCGGACTTCACGTAGGCGAGTCCAGTTGTGTCAGCTGTGGCAAAGACCAAGTCGTCGACGTACACGAGGATGTAGAACGGCGGCAGAGAGGTGTCGGTGCGCAGAAACAGCGACGGGTCGGCAGTAGAAGGAGCGAACCCAAGAGCCGCAAGCGTAGTCCTCAGTGTGTCGTGCCACTCACGTGGCGCCTGGCGGAGACCGTAGACTGGACGCCGGAGACTCCACTGGGTACCAGGAGGGAAAGACCCAGTGAAGCCAGGTGGGCGGCGCAGCCAGATCTCCTCGTGCAGGCTGCCCTGCAAGAAAGCTGTGCTGAAGTCGAGAGAGTGCAGCTCGTAGTCCCGGTGAGCAGCAACGTGCAGCAGTACCCGAAGAGTGGTCATCTTTGGGGTGGGGGAGAAGGTCTGAAAGTAGTCAACTCCCTGCCGCTGACTGAAGCCACGAGCCACGTAACGCGCCTTGAAGACAGGCGGAGAACCCGGCGGCCGCTTCACCCTGAAGATCCACATGCCACTGACGATGTTCGCCCCAGGAGGGGGGACAGCGTCAACGTAGGTGCCTGTGGACTTCCAGGAAGCCATCTCTGCATCCATAGCTGCCTGCCACTGAGAGGAGTAGGGATCCTCTATCGCCTCCGCGTAAGAGCGCGGAGTCGGGATGTCTGGTGCATCAGGGTCTCCCTGAGGGGTAAGCAGTACGGACACGAGATGAGGTGAAGCAGCGGCCAAGCACTGGAACTCCTCCTGCCTGTCCTCAAGGACGTCCGTGCCAAGGGCACACGCACCCCCGACGGACGGAGGACAGACAGACTCAGACTCAGCGACAAGACTCGCAGCGTAGTCTAGGCGACAGTGAGCAGCAAAGTCGACGAGCTCAGCAACTAGGGCAGACGCAGCAGAAGACTCGAAAGAAGGGTCAGTGACGGCAGTAGCAAGGAGACGCGTGACAGTAGGACTGGCAGCACGAAGAGAGTCCGACGCAGGGTCGGCGAGAGCAGGAAGAGAGGACGCAGGAGGAGAAGGCAAAGGGGCACGCAGAGGAGCAGTAGACGGACGTAGAGACATTCGGTGCGTGCCAGGGGCAGGAGGAGGACGCTGTCGCGAACTACGAGCACTAGCGCTAGCACGACGGACAGGCGACGCAGGACGAGACGCAGACTCACGACGCTCAGTAAGACCGCCAGTAGGACCAGTGTAAGGAGAAGGAGCAGGTAGTGGCGAGGTCGGCTGCAACTGTAACTGTGACGGGACAGGCTGTGAACACGCTAAGGGAGGAGGACCAGGAGGAGGCGAGAGACCAAGAACCTGCTGAAGGAGCGGAACGAAGTACGGCTGAGGGCGCGCGGCGTCTGCAGACACAGCAGGGACAGCACCTGTACC